AAGAAGAACAAATCCAGAGAACTGACACTATCTGACTTTAATTCTTGCTATAAAGCTATAATGGTGTTGTATTGGTGAAAGAATAAACAAACAGATCAATGGCACAAAATAAAGAGCCCAGAAAGAGACCCAAACAAATATAATCAATTGATCATTGACAAAGTAGTAAAAGCAATTCAGTGGAGAAAGGATAGCTTTTTCAACAAATGGTGCTGGAACAAATGGATATGCCCATGTAATAATGATGATGATGATGATGATGATGATGATGATGATGATGATGATGAAAGGAATAATCAACACAGACCTTACACCTTTCACAAAAATGGATCATAGACCTAAATGTAAAATATAAACATCTAAAACTCTTAGAAGATAGAATAGGAGAAAATCTAGGTGACTTTGAGTTTGGCGGTGAGTTTTTAGATTCAACAGCAAAAGCACAATTCATGAAAGAGAAATTGATAAGTGAGACTTCATTAAAAGTAAAAACTTCTGCTTTACAAACTTGTATCCAAAATGTAAATAACTCTCAAAACTCCATAATTAGAAAACAAACAACCCAACCAGGCAAAAGATCTGAACAGATATGTTACCAAAGAAAATATAGATGGCAAATAAGCACATGAAAAGATGCTCAACATCATATGTCATTAGGGAATCGTGAACTAAAACAACGACACAACTATCAGATAGACCAAAATCCAAAACAATGACAAAATCAAATGCTGGCAAGAATGTAGAGCAACAGGAACATCCATTCATAGCTGGTGGGAATGCAAAATGGTACAACGACTTCAGAAGACAATTTGACAGTTTCTTACAATGTTAAACTTAGTCTTACCATACAACCCAGCAATCATGCTCCTTTGGTACTTACCCGAATAATTGGGAAATTATAGCCACACAAAAGCCTGCATTTCAATGTTTATAACAGCTCTATCATAATTTCAAAAACATGGAAACAACCAATATGTCCTTCAATAGGTCAATGGATAAACAAGCTGTAGCACATCCACATAATGAAATAGTATCCAGTGGCAAAATGAAATGAACTACCAAGCCATGAAAAGACAGGCATGAAGCTTAGAGGCATATTATTACTAAGTCAAACAAACCAGTCAGAAAAGGCTACATACTTAATGATTCCAACTAGGTATATGACATTCTAGAAAAGGCAAACTATAGAGACAGTGAAAAGATCAGTGTTTGTCAAGGTTGCTAAGGAAGAGAAGGATGAGTAGGTGCAGCACAAGTATTTTTAGGTTAGTAAAACTATTCTGTATAGATACTGTAGCTGTGGATACATGATATAGTGATGCATAATGATACATGACACTATGAAATGTGGTGGGTACAAACCCATAGAATATACAACACAGAGTGAGCCCTAATGTAAACTAAGACTTTGGTTAAAATAATATATCAATATTGGTTCATCAATTTAACAAGTGTACTCCACTAATGCAAAATTTACTAATTGAGGTATTTGGAGGGATGGAGAGCATATATGGGAACACTATACTTTTTCTATAAATCTATGAAATGTGGTGGGTACAAACCCATAGAATATACAACACAGAGTGAGCCCTAATGTAAACTAAGACTTTGGTTAAAATAATATATCAATATTGGTTCATCAATTTAACAAGTGTACTCCACTAATGCAAAATTTACTAATCGAGGTATTTGGAGGGATGGAGAGCATATATGGGAACACTATACTTTTTCTATAAATCTAAAACTGCTCTAAAACAGTCTATTAATTAATATATATTATATGATATTATATATAATGATATAACATGTTTCACCGATGACATTTCAAAATTATTTTTATATTACAATATTCACTGCTGGTGAATATTCTTCATTCAAGGCTAGTTATCTTTTTTAAATTGCATATATATTTATACATATATGTATATATAATTCATACGCGCGCGCGCGCACACACACACACACACACACATATCTTCTTTAAAACCTCTCTTTGCTTCTCAGTGCCCTCTACTGAGAAAAAAGAATTAATATTTATTCCCATATCTGTAGACCACAGCAGTTCCTAGTACATAGTATGTACCCTATAAATATTTGCTAAATCAATGTTGAATGATGTGTCAAATGTTGAATGTAGATGACTAACAATGAATGCACTAAAATATGCTGTCATCAAGCCCATATGTATTTCTCCATCTTACTTATAAGGCTATGATAACAGGCATTGCCAAATGCCTTGCTGATACCAAGATCCAGTGTGCCTATGGCATTCCCCTGCTACATTAGACTGATAACTATCTTGTTATCGAATAAGAAGGAAAAAAAATAACGACAGTTAAACAGTAAAGGGCACATGAGATGTGGATTAAAAAGCACAGTGGTTCATTTAAATTCTATTTCCCAAGTGCCCTTAAAAACAAAATAGATATTTGTTTGAAGTTATCTGGAAGCCTTTCTAAAGTTCTAGGTAGTATGGTTATTAATATGGCCCTACAGTATTTTATTATTATTATTCCTTACAAAGAAAACAAATATTTTTAAGTTCATCTTTGAGTAAACCTGAGAACCTATCTGAAAACAGACCACCGAGCTCTACCCAATTGTGAAGAAATATTAAAAACCATCAGATCAACTACAGTATCAGTATGTTGGTGTTAAAATATACCCAATCATCTGTATTCATTGTAAGCACCATAAATAAAATAAAAACAACAACTAAAAGATACTTATGAGGCGTTAAGGCTTTAAGAAGCTGATATCAATGAGCTACTAAGAAATGAAAATTCATTAAGAATTCTGTACTTAAGAGAAGTGTTAAAATTTGCCATGACAGGGAGCTGCTACTCAATACACCATCTTAGCTTCCATTCTTGGCTTGGCAAGACTCTGAGAAATTGTGCCAAAATTGGCCTATCAAAAAGAGATGCTGCATTGCAGAAGCACATAAGTTTTCAGGCTATGCCAGACTGGACGTTGCCTGGGAAACTGGCTTCTGCTATAGCTAGACAGGAAAGTGTTCTTGAGGGAAGGATAGTTTCAGAATTCTCTATCCCTGGCACTGTTGTAGCTTCTGCTTACTGGTCTCCTATTCACCGCCCCAATTTGATCTGATTCTGTGTTGTCCCTGATTCCCAGATGTTTGCTTGAATTTGACTCCTTCACTGTCTAGACAGAAATAAAAACAATAACTGCAAAGATGTTTGGTTTTACCAATACGGTCCTTTTTTTTTTTTTTTTAGCCAATGTTTGAAAAACAGAATATATCTCATAAAAAAAGATCTATATTTACATCTTTTCTTTTTGAAAAATTAGAATAGCTGGCAATGCTGAGGCCATATTTCCCCATGAAGCAATCTGCTAGAAGTGGCTACTGCTCACTTAAATAGCACATGTGTTCCCCAGTTTGCCACAATCCCCTCTATTCCCTATTGCACCAACACTGAGGCTGAGTGTTAATGTTCGTTTACCATTATACTTTTTATTTGTTTTTTTCCTTGTGGTATAGAGGTCTTTTTCTCTTTCCATGAGGAGTGGCAAAACAAGAGATATAATAAGAACTTGAAGAATGTCAAGAAAAATATACACTATAATCTTGGAGGAAGTAGAGACTATTTATGCATGTTTAATCTGCAAAGTGAGTGTACATACAAAGAACAGACCTTACCCATTTATTCTCTTATATTTTGTATCTAATCTCTACAGCTTTTGGAGTTGCCCAACTCTTGCTCTAGTTCTCGGACATCTGGGTGTTTTTGGAGTTTGTATTATGCTCTGGATTTATCCCCAGTCTTAGTTCGCTGCCTAGTTCTTCAATCCGCTACTACCTACAGACCAGGAGTGGCAGATCATACAGCTAAAATGTAACGGTTCTGGTGGCTCTAATTGCTCCTCCTCATTTGCTGCCTCACTGTCTGCAAATAAGCTGATATGTATAGATGAGCCATAACATTTCCTTCTAATTTAGCAATAAATGCTATATATTCATTCATTCTCAGTATAAAAAAATCTGAATATCCTAGCTCAGTTTTCTCCCTAATTTAACTGATAGTTTTTGTTGTCATTATTTTTTGTTTGTTTTATGAAAAAGAAGGAAAGGGAGGGAGAGAAGAAGGGAGAAGAAAGAAAAAAAAGGAACAAAAAACACTATCAGTCCATTTTAACTACGATGTTATCAATAGTTGGTATCAGGCCTAGGGTTTTTGCTCTACCTCCTCTCTCATTCAGCCTACTGGAGACAAGGCAAAAGTTCAGTTTCAGTTTGTGCACTCTCTCTTTATATGAACTGATTTAGAAATCGTAGATTTCTTGAAGGACCTTATATATTTTTTTTTTTAAGTGAAGAAATAGATCTGAGTGTGGTCATGAGTGCTGCACCCCTAAATTCCAGTACCCCCAGGTAACTAGATGGCTTAGCCAGTGTCTGCTCCCCGTTATGGGAGCAGTTGGGTGTCTGAATGGCCAAGGATTTTGACAGACTCATCCAGAACTGGAGCTGAAGCTAACTTTGTTGCACTGGAGTAAAATGTTGGAAGGTTCGAATGTTCAAGTTGGAAAGTGCTTTGAATGGGATATTAACAAACAATTACCAAAAAATCTCATTAAGAGAAGGTGTAGATGAGGTTACCCTGGTGGTTTCTAACTGAGGACCTTCAGGAAAAAAATCTTTTCAGGTCCTAGGTGGTACTCCATGGTCAAAGCACCAACAAATAAGGGACTTTAGCCTGAAAGTGACAGACTGAGAGCTAAATTGGTTTTAAGTCTTGTCCTAAATATGTAAAATAAATGATTAGTATAATACCAACGTTGGTCTGAGTAAGCAAGTTGGATTGGTTGAGATGAAGTGAGCGAGCTGGCAGACAATACGTAATTTCTTCTGAAAGAGGAAGCCCTGAGCCACCTCTACAGAGCAGTCTGAGGCCACAAGGGCATGCCTGCCAGCTGGCTGAGTCTGCTGCCCCCACCCAAGCCCACTGACGGAAGTGCTGTCTCTCTCCTGATAGGACAAGAATGACCCAACAGATCGGCAAGTGGCCAAGAGGAACTCCCAACTGCCTTTTCCTCCTCTCAGCACGAGTGACAGTGGGGCATACCCCCTGACCTCTCTTCCTTCTTCCTCTGGACCAAGCGATGAAGGGACATGACAATAAGGAAGTCGTCCTTGCATGAACATGTAAGTATGCATTCCTCATTATCAGACACAACCACAGGTAAAGATTGCATCAAGCTTGTGAGCTGGATCCTGGTCCCTAGCCATCAATGAATACATTCCCTATCTTAAGACAACCACTGAGAGAACTTATTCGGACAAAATATTTGGAGTTTTCTCCCTTTTGGAGCTTTTCCATTTAAAGAAATAATAAGCTCTTTCTCTAGTTTTCTTTAACAGATTCAGCATATGATGGGCAAGGTTCGTAGATTTTTTTCTTTGCCTACTTCCTCTTAAAATTTAAGTCTGTGGTTAATCAAACTCTGCAAAAGACAGATTCTCGTTCAGACTGTGGGCTAATATAGCTATCTGAATAATACCCTACATTTTGCTGGGGTTTTTTTCTGAGAAGTATAAGCAATCTGAATAAAATGTCCCAGGGTCTCAAGGACTTCTGAGCCTGCCGTCACCAGACACTTGCCTGAAACCAAAGCAGTGACATGCTAAGTGATGGACTTGGTGCTGTCAGTTCAGCCCCAGCTTTCATTTCCTTAAAGGTAATAACAAAACAGTGTGCTTGACTTTGCCATAATGTTTTAATTTCCATTTATGTCACCATTCTCTATGTGGCACCACTATAAGCATGAAGCATGAAAATGGCACCTGTCTAGGAGGCAGTGAGGTGCCCAGTGTTAGGGGTGGGCAGAGAGCAGGGGCAGGAGGACCTGGGCTACATCCAGACCCTGCTACTTCCTAGCTGACTGGCCTGGGGCAAAACCCGACCCTCTAGGAAGCCTTTTCCCTCATTTCATATTCCTCTTGGAGACAGGAATATCTACCCTGCAGGATGGTTAAAAATGGACATATGATGTCTGGAACATAGACTCCCAATAAATGAAAGCAATAATTATTATTGTCGATTTTGTAAAAGAGTTAATACATTTAAAGGGCTCAGAATAGTATACTCAGTAAGTGTTCGTTATTATTGTGATCCAAGGGAACCCAGATGCCTTGTCAATTTGGGATCTTCAGCCCTCACAGAGGTAATGCTATGTATCTGGCTATTATGCCTGATTAAGAAAAGGCAGAAGGGTTGGTATTTTCAGAAAGATTTTGACATGATTTAACAAGTTAGTTCAGTCTCTGAAAGGGAAGTGAAATTAGATGATCTGCATCTTAGAAACAGCAAAGACTGCAGGTTAGAAAATGGGGTGGAAGAAGAAAAGAACATATGTGGGAAGATAAATTAGGAAGCCACAGTAAGATTTCAGATTCAAACTAAGGTGGAAACTGTAGGAAGAGAAGTGGACTTGAGCAGAGAAGATAGAATCTACTCTGCTTCCGGTGGATGAAGGCAAGGAAGGAATCACAGATGATCTTGCAATTTCTGTCGTGGAGCAACTAAGTGAATATTGACTTCACTTACTGAAAAGAGGAACGAGCTTGAGGAATAAGATAATTAGTCTTGAATTTATTTTAAATTGGATCCTGGCACAGTCACAGAGTTTATTCAATCAGCAACAAAGAGACATTTCTTTATTCTCAGCTATTTTTGTCATGTATTTTAAAACTACTTGATGATTTAACTAGCATGCATCACCAAGAATAAATGCATATATAGAAAATAAACACAGAGTCTTTTGTCCTGAGACCAAAATATAAGGTGACTGTTAGGCGTCACTTAGAAATCATGACTAAGAAAATAGAATACTGACATATGGGTCAAAGATTTACAGTTAGAGGTTAATTAAACTGGTAAACATCAGATTCAGAGAAGTGAAAGTAATTTATAATTCTCCATCTTCATTTATTTAAATATATTTCAGAGATTCTACAATGAAATATATTAAGGAAAGAATTATCCTAAAGGTAAAAGAAAGGAAGGCAATGAGAAAATAACCAGTAACATTATTTGTGCAAATAATTTGGAAAAATATTCTAAGCCTGGTATTTTACCAGAAGAATGAGGACAGTGTTACACAACTGATTTATAAAACGAATGATGCAATTTGGGTCAATCATTTTATTTACAAAGCAAATATTCATCTGAAAAGAGTCTGACCGGAAGCCACTGTTTACAGTGTTATTTTCAGTCATTTTCAGTAAAATTTTAAAAATCCTATTTAGAAACAGAAGAGATACCCTAACTTAGGCCATAATTGCATCTCCAGCATTGAATAATCCTCTGTTTCAGTGTTTTTCCCTCACTGACTGTGAGCTCCTGAACACAGAGACCATGTTTCACTCAACCTCATATCCTGGGGTTCAACCACTGGGTTTGGCCGATGGAAGCACTGAGTGAGAGTTCATCTGATGAAGGCAGAAAGGAAGAGTAGTGGGCATCAAAAACATTAAGCAAGTTCCACCTCCCTGGACAAAGCAACTTCATTTCAGGAATTTAGCAATTAATATCATTTAAAATATTGGAACTTATTCTTTATAAATGTTGTATAACCGAGTTTCAGAGAGATTTGAAAATGAAAATCATTGCATCCATAATCTCTCCATGCAAATATATGTAGGTTAGCATTTTGATTTTAGCAAAAAATAATGTTATCATGGTTAGAATTAATTTATAATGCCACTTATAAGCATGCTGTTTTTTGAAATATCCAAATTTTAAAAGCTGACAATGCTGCAAATAGCACTTTCAAATATGACAAGTTGGAAATAAAAAGGCATTTTAAAAAGAAATTTTAAAAATGTAGATTGTGGTGGCTCTATGGCTTAGTTGGTTAATGTGTCTGTCTCATAAAAATGCAGATCATGAATGTGAAAGGTAAAGGAAGACTCTTTGCCACCCTCTCTGATTAGGAAAGAGATGATGCTACTAGCATATTTCTGGGCTACGATGAAGCTTCTTTATTTTTGTATAGTTTATGCTAACGTGGATTGAAAAAAGGAAAATTTGTTGCAACTAATAAATAGCTAAGTCAACTAACTGGTAATATAAAACATAAATAGAGTATCTGAGATGTGGTCATCAAGTGAACTTTAGAAAACTAGATAATGGAATATTATCCAGACTTAAAAAAGAAGGAAATTCCGTCACACACTACAACATGTACGAACTTTGAGAACATTATGCTAAGTGAAATAAGCCAGTCACAAAAAGACAAATACTGTATGATTCCCTTCTACGAGGTGTCTAAAGCAGTCAAATTCATAGAAACAGAAAGTAGAATGTGATTACGAAGGGCTGGGGAGAGGGACAAAGGAAGAGTTGTTGTTTAATGGATGTAGAGTTTCAGATCTGCAAGATGAAAAAGCTCTAGAGGTCTGTTTCACAACGATGTGCATACACTTAACATTACTGAAGTATATACACTTAAAAATCGTTAAGATGGTGAAAGAGATAAAGAAAGAGAGAGAATGGGAATCAGAAAACTAAACCAGTGGTTTGGAGTCTTCTAACAAAATTTAGTATTATTTAGAGGTGAGGGAGTTTGCTAAATAATTCAAGGCCAAATTCTGCTAGGGTATTAAATTATTCTTTCTGAAAAGGCTTATAACCTTTTTTTTTTTTTCCCTTGAAAGTCATGAAATGTGGTTCTGGGACTATGGGCCCAAGACTCAGGAGGTGGGTTCTTAGTCCAACAGCACCTCGCTCCTCAACAGCACCAAAGCTTGCATGCACTGACTTAGCGCAGAATTTAGTTCAGTTATTAAAGTGAACTCATGAGAAGTTTTAATCCCGAGTCTCAATATTCTTCATATACTATCAGAAAAGTATTTGTGCTCCAAAAGAAGCAAATTACTCATATGTGCTTGAAATTGCTAAATGCACGTGTTTTGAAGAGAAATTACCAAGAATATGTAGACTGTTTCAAGTCATACAAGCAAAGAAAACACATATTGTTTTATGATTTGCCAAATTTAGTCCTTTTTTTAAGGTGGCCAGGCATAGATTTTAACACAAACACACACCAGCTGGCTGAAATAAGTTCATTTTTTAAGTAAATATTTAGTGGTTTGATTTCTGGCCCATTTGAAGCACTCTGTTCCAAGAAGATAAGAAAAATAATAGTAATCCTTGAAATAGAAAATGTGGATAAGATGATAGTGGCTTTATAAAGATAAGTTTAAATGGATCTGTGGCTGGAGCTATTAAAGAGTTGTTAATATAAAAAGATACATTATTTTTGCCCTTATATTTAGAATATTTTTTGCTGACTAAAATATTTGGCTTTTATGGGTTTGGTTTTAAACAAATTATGGCTTAAAATAAATTATAAATTTGCAATGGCATTTAGCATACAATAATAGAAACCAAAAGGCAAAACCCAAATCCTGACTAAACACAATTTTTGCCTATTCTGCACCTGCACCTATGTGGCTGAAATAGGCTAGCAAAAAACAAACATCCATGCTGCACACTCTCAGTTCAAATAAAGGCTCCCAGGTTTAAGCGGGTCACCATGCTGCTCAATAATTACAGCCTCTCCCATCTCCTAGGTGAGTATTCCATGTCTTCTTGTTCCTCAAATCTCTGATACCACCTTCCCCAGGTTCACTCTTAGCTGATGACCTTGACCTTGTTGCATATTTCCCTGAGAAAACCCAATCAGGAAAACCCCCACAAGCTGGCACCTCCACACCTACCCTTGCACCAGCATCATGTGCCGGTACTCGGTCTTCCCCCATAGTTTCTCTGGCTGAAACATCCGTGTTCCTGTCCAAAGCCAACTCCTCCACTTGGGCACTAGATCCCACCCCATTCACCAACTCAAGGGACATTGCTCCAGTAATTTCCCCCCCATTCTTCCTGCATCATTTGTTTTTCTCTATTTACGGAATCATTCTCATAAGCAAATAAACATGCTATTACTGTTACTATCATAAAAGAAATTAAAACTCTCTTAACCTCATTTCCCCCTCCAGCTGTTTTCTCATTCTCAGTTTCTCTTTATTATAAAGAGAAACTGAATTTATAGTAAAACTCCTGGACAGTGGTACTGTCTCCAATTCTCCTATTCTCTCTTAACCACTCTAATTAGCCTTTGTCCCCAACATTCTTTCAAGGT